TCCCGAGGAGCGCCACGACTTCCGGAGCCTGCTCCAGAAGGTGCGGTGGCCTGTCGCGCGCGTGGTGCCCCAGCTCGCGTATAGTGTCTCGGCGCCCGCACAGAAGGATCCGAAAGGTCGGAGGTTACTGCGCCTGCGAGTGCTTAATGACATCATCGACCGGCTCCAGGACTACGACAAGAGAGGTCTTGCGACTCTCCGGATCCGCCGTGTGGACATCGAGCGCTTGCAGGTGCTCACGCTTATGGGCGCTTCGTTTGCGAAGGAACCCAGCTGTAAGAGCCAGATGGGGTTCATGAGTATGATGACGGATACCCGAGTGTTGAAGGAGCTAGCTGTATGTTGTCTAGTGGAGTTCCAGAGCAGTACTATTACACGAGTTGTTGGATCTACGATGGCCGCAGAGTCTGCGGCTATGTCCGTGGTTTTGGATCGGCAGCTTTACCTCAGGCTGCTGATTGAGGCAATCTTGCACGGGGAGCCGCCCTTGCAAGGGGACTGGAGGCTGGCGCTGAAGGTTCCGGGGGCGCTGGTGACGGACGCGAAGTCGCTCTGCGACCACGCGTCCAAGATCGGCTCGATGCCGGTGTCTCGGCAGACCCTCATTGACTTGTTGGTGGCCAAGGATTTGATAGAGCAGGAGGCCATCAAGTTCAAGTGGCTGCCCAATAGCCACATGCTAGCGGACGTGCTGACAAAGGCCGTGCAGCCTAACGAGGTGCTATCGCAGTTCCTCCGCCACGGACTGTTCAGCATGGTGCCTACTGCTGAGCAAGAGGATGAGGAGGCACACCGTCTGCGGCTGCGCCGCGGACAGCGTGAGAGAGCCAAGGAGCGGAAGGCCCAGCGTCGGGTCGCCGTTCCAGGGCCTGCGAGCCCGTGAGGTCCTGATTGCAGCCGCTGATGGACCTAGTGAGGGCTACGGTGATGTATGCATATCTTTTGAGTTGACAGTCTGGATTAGTGAATCTAGACATTCATATTTTATATTTCCCCATATCCTAAGGATTGGGGTTCTTGTTATTACTCTGACGCCTCCCACTCCTCCTCCTCCTTCTTCCTCCCGCTCGCGCCTCCCTCCTCCCAATGATAATCACCAGATAAGACAAGACAATATAAGATACTACAATATAAGATAAGATAATACAAGATATAAGACCAGATAAGATACTACAATATAAGATAAGATAATACAAGAATAGCACAGGATATGATAAGAAGAGATTTCAAGATAAGATAAGACAAGTTAAGCTCACACTCACACTCTCTCATGATCACAAAACGCTGCCAGGGGCATCATTTGGGAGCCCCAAGGGGGAGCCACCCTGGCTGTTCTCACGAGCCCGTTCGCGCCGATTTTGGTGGGACGTCTCAGCTAGAATTGCCGTTTGGCGCCCCCAACATGTATCTCTTGAGAGCCTCATGGTCACAAAACGCTGCCAGGGGCATCATTTGGGAGCCCCAAGGGGGAGCCACCCTGGCTGTTCTCACGAGCCCGTTCGCGCCGATTTTGGTGGGACGTCTCAGCTAGAATTGCCGTTTGGCGCCCCCAACATGTATCTCTTGAGAGCCTCATGGTCACAAAACGCTGCCAGGGGCATCATT